CTCTATATCGTCGTCTCGCGCGTCGACGCGGCGACGGCACCGCGACGTGTGGGGAAACTGGTCTGGATCGGTTGGTCCTCTGCAGTTGTTGCGGTTTCGTGCTCCGTCGTCCGGACGGAGTGCTCTTCGGGCTTCGTTCTCCTCACTCTTCACACACCGCCCTCAGTGCGGTCAAGCCCACCAGGTGAGACCCATATGGGAGGCCCGGTGAGCGACCTGCGAGCAGGCGGTGGACTTAAGGCGAGGGAGGATCGGATTGTCTGTTGTGGGTAAGAAGCTTATACAATGTCAAAGTTGACATTAGCTTCAGAGGCGTCACGTTATTTGTAAATTCGTCATAGAGGTATAAGAATAGAGTGGGGAAGGCGCCTCTAAAAGTGTCCGTCTAGTAGAAAGAGAAAGAAGATGAGAGACGGCTAGCCTTTCTCTCTCTAATCGCGAATGCGCATTGGATGAAAAACCTACGGATGAATACCGACCAAAAACACGACTGCGCAGCGTCACAAGAACGAGAGATAGCTAGCCGTCTTTCATCTTCTTTCTCTTTCTACTAGACGGACACTTTCACTTGTAGTAGAGTACATATCTCCCCTACTTTATTCTTATATCTCTATGAAATACGTGCTTTCGTCACCCATCCAATGACCGAACACTGCAAATGTTGCTTAACTTCAACGATCGCAGCCGAACGGGCTAACCACTCAATATTTTTTTAGAATGGGTATAAAATAAATTCTAGTTTTTTCTCAAATTATGTAATATATAAAATTCTCGTGTCGCGGTGTTTGTGGTTAAACTCCTCCGAAACAGCTTTCCCGATTCTCATGAAATTTTGTGTGCATAGTGGGTAGGTCTGAGAATAGGACAACATCTATTTTTCATCCCCCTAAATGTTAAGGGTAATCCACCCCTAATTTTTTTTTCAAATTTAGATATTTTTTTTTTAATTTTTTTATGATACATCATACAAAAATACATACATCGATAAATTTTCAACTTTCTACCACAAATTCCTATTTTTTCTGAGAATCGGACAACATCTATTTTTCATCCCCCTAAATCGTAAGGGTGGTCCAGACTTAATTTTTTTGGACTTTTTTTTTTTGTTTTTATTCTATGATACATTACACAAAAATACATATAACTCTAAATTTTCACCCTTCTACCACCAACTCCTATTTTTTTAAGGCGGTACGAAGATCGCTGGGACAGCTAGTCTTATATATAAAATTCTCGTGTCACAATGTTAGTTACCATACTGCTCCGAAAGGGCCTAACCGATTTTTATGAAATTTTATATGCATATTCCGTGAGTCTGAGAATCGGCTACTATCTATTTTTCATATCCTTATGTGATAATGGTTGTCCCCCTAAACGTAGTGTTCTGAAACCTACAATGCGCCTTCGCGCCAAAATTCAAACTATTGGGTATTGTAACGTAGTGCTCTCATATGGGTTAGGAGGAATGTTATCCCAGGAAATTGATAGAACACTACGTTACACACCCCTAAATTTTTTTTGGACCATATTTATTTTTTTATAATGTGGTATTAAAAATACATACAACCCTAAATTTTCTCTTCTTCCATCTGCCCCTATTTTTATGGCGGTACGAAGTTCGCTGGGTCAGCTAGTTTAGATATAAGAGCATTACCTCTCATCAGATGCTTGTATGGAACTGTCCCACCCCTGAATATATGTATGTCAATATTGAAACGTCAGATAAAAATTTGAACTTATTATAGGGCAACTTAGAACGCAGCCGGCTGTAAGTAAGTAATCTGTAAATCTGTCTGTGTTCTCTATGTTCAAAAAGGAAGATTAATACAAAAATAAGGCGATGGCTGCATGGCTATGCCTTTGCCTTTCTCAATAGAGAAGAATAGAACTAAAAAAAATCAATACAATACTCGCTCGAGAGTTTTTGGCGGGATTTCATCGAGAGCGGTTTGTGTCTTATTTTAATTATTCTTAAATTTGTTCATAATGGATCTTGTGAAATAAAATTGGTGTGATTTTGTGTTACAACCGTCTGCGCAACTGAAGAATTAGTGGAATCTTTAAAATATACGCTATTCCAGTCAAGTGGACGTGAGTATTTTATTGTAGTATTGACTTCTTCACAGAAGCTTAACGAAAAAGCCAACTCGTTATATTTCGTGCCAAACACTCCTAGAAGCATTAGAATGCGTCACACCCACATTCTAATGTAAAAAAAGGAAGATACAAAAATAAGACGATGGCTGCATGGCTATGCCTTTGCCTTTCTCAATAGTGAAGAATAGAACTAAAAAAAAATCAATACTCTCTCGTAGTATCTCTAAATAGTCTGTGCTCTCTCGTTCTCTTCTCTTCTGCGAGTACCTACCTATTTCAGTATCTCATTTTTGTGTCCTGTTTCTTTTCTGTCTTCTGAGTACTGGATTGGGGAGAAAACTGCAGAAGTGGAGAAAACCAGTAGTTTAGCTGAAGTAAAAACAATATAAGGGCAAAATGTTTAGATTACCGTACGGTGAAAGAGTTGATCCTATGGAGGAAAAACGCCAAGCGAGAGAAAATACTATAAGCAGCGTTATTACTTTTTGCGTGCTATGTGCCGCTATTAGAGTTGGTAAGCTGTGATTCTTTATTGATATTCCCCGTTATTTCCATACCAGTAATTAGAGGTTAGTTTTAACAGTGTAGTTAAGTTTCTTATTATTAGTAAATAAATGTGCATTACGTTTGTGTTACGATTTCAAATAAAACCGTCGAAAATGGCATACACTGGCACTAACAGCGACGTACTTTGTAAATGTACTGAAAGTGTAATCACTAACCTACCTTGTTCTATGGAGATTTCAATTTTTATATCTGTTTATAATGTATTTCTGACTAAACTTATTTCCGCTTTAGTTGGTTTCGGTATTCATTTGGTGAAAATGCTAAAAGCAATTGCTATCAAATCTCCAAGTTGTTCTTGTGACCCATGTGGTGGTGCATAAGTTTATAACAAGTTCTCTCCTTATCCAAAATTACCTCGGTTAGTATTACCTACATTCAAATAATTAAGCAAGGAAGACAGACATAGTTCAAATGAAGTGTGGAAGTTTATCAGATGGGTTCTCAGACAAATTTACCAGCAGCTACGTTACTTAGTAACATTAAAGTTAACCTGATACAGACACGAATTTGTGGGTAAATAAATCATCAGCTTTTATGTCCTCCCTACTGAGGAATAGGTCTTCCCTATGGATGGCATATGGAGGCTGGACCGTGGTGGGTCATGTGGGCCTAATGCAGATTGGTGGGGGCTAATAACTGCATATGCATTGCACCAATGGGATTTTATGTAAAAAATTTACTTTAGGTAGTAAACATCTATAAAAGATGAATTTGTAGTGATTTCCAAATCAATACTATAACACCTAAATGTGGTTAATTGTAATATGCATATAATTCTTTCTATTTCTATTTGTTAACAAATGTTATCTTTTTTCAGCTCCCCTCATTTTGGAACATGGTGGCTTTTAGGAAGATATATCAACGGGCAGTTTTTCTCTAAGAATGATCCTTTTCTATAGCCACAGTTCAAGTTATCCAATTTTGTCATTTCTATATATCAATGATGCATCATTCATTGGGAAATTTGTCATTTTGTAATAACTTGATCTGTTGCTGACTGTACCATAGTTAGTGTAATTTGTTATTTAATAAATGAATCTTTAAAAGCAAGCTAGTTTTTCATCATCATATACTTACTAAAGTAACATATTTTTACCAAAACCGTTTCAGGAAATAAAACCATGTTTAGATGAGTTCTTAATGTTTCAGATCCTATCCTATCCTTATCCACGCTTCATGTGTGGTCCTGAGACTGACCAGAGGTCTAAAATAGCAATATTTGAATGAAACATCTAAAATAAGTTACACCTAAGAAATCTTCAATGTCAGTAATGATATTTCATCCATGTGGCATTTAACACAAGTGCTTTCAAGATTGAAAAATATTAAACATTATTTAAGATATATACTATTTGCGATATAAGATTCATACCATGATAAAAGTCTGTAACATCTCAAAATGCTCTCTTCATACCCTAAAAAAAGTCCTAAAGGTTATTTTATATTTCATTTTTATCAACTTCACCCCACTTCTTTCCGTTTGAGGCTTCTCAGTGTCAATACCACATCTTGAATATTAGTTGCCCTTTTTAATGGACCTGTGTTAAATTTTCTCTCTTAATTTTGCCTTTCATGCTTCCATTGCCAGAAGACATGTTTTTCCTAATGTTTAATAATTTTAAATCCACTTGGATTTTACTTAGTAAACATCAGAATTGTCTGCAAAAATTGTATATGTATAGTTAGTTAGTTTTAATAAAACTATTAAATTGTTCTAGGAAGTGATTTATTTTCGGATCTCCTTCGTCTTACTGAACCCTTAAAATATGTACTCAATCCTCTACTTTAGTCTAACCAAGGATTTACATATCAAGCGATTTGCAAGCCATGCGTCTCAACCATGGACAATAATATTATTGGTTCATGGAAAACAGCGCAGTAAAATAACTAGCTTTTGGTGGTGTTGTGTCTCTCGGCGAGTAAAGGTTTTTGTCCAGTTACACGTCCCCGCTCCCACACGTAAAAAAGCATATTTCAAATAGTTTTTAAGTAAGACGCACTATAGGTGATCATTATGATATGCGGCGAACTACGACGCATCATTTAAACTTTCATAGCTATTCGATGTGTTTTTAATGTCTGACAGTTTGTTCTTTTGAAGTTATACTTCTTTAGCCGCGTTATGAAAAAATTATGAGAGTGAAATTTTCATCACTGTAACACAAAATTTTAACATAATGAAGTTAGCCGCGGGCGCGTTATTTGTAATATTTTATTTTCCAAGTGACCATGGGGCAGATTTGAACAAAGCAAACAGGGCAGATTTGAACGGGACATTGAAATGAAATGAAATTCAGTCTAGGCTGTTACAAGCACTTGTGAAGGTCAAGAACACAACGTGTTTTAGTTACTTACAAGTGCTAATTACATATGGACTAATAACTTAAATTCAGTAGTGATTTTAATTGAATATTTTGAATATTTATTTAATTTTTCAAATTAAAACTGAACTTAATTGACTGTGTTAACTATCCTTTTCCAGTCCTCTTATTATTTTATTGTAATTATTAATTATTTGCATGCAATTAAAAAATATTTTAATGATGCTAAAGAAGTATAACTTCTCACGCGCGTACATAAGTTACACGCATCCATTTTTTATTTATTTAGATTACAATATTAGATACTAGGAAAATAATAGTCCGTTTTAATAAATTACACTGAAGTTTATTTCTCATCCTGAATACAATACATATTGACCAATGTTGCTCATTTACCCGGCATCACGTCACAACTTTATTACAACTCACTCAACATACATTATGTTATCGTTATGCCCGAGGAGAACATTCGCTTTTTATTTTCCATTTATCTAGTTACAAAATTCTAAAATTTGATAATACAATGAAATTTAAGCAATCTTACAGTTTATCACTAAGTCCATTTAGCATCGAAAATAAACGATCATGATATCATTAATAAAAATTGATTTAAGTTCTTCATACATATATATATATATATATATATTTTTACAATTCAACTAAAACACTGCGGGAAGGGGGCTGATCGGGGTGCAACCATACGTCCGAACGAACACTATACATTGTATACATTTGTAAAAAGTATCAAAATCGAGTAAAAGGCCTACAAAAAATTATCTCGAGATACTAATATTCGTTACGTAGTATAACCTAAAATTGACCTATTCAACACTGGAGGCGCCGAGCGGGCGACGGGCGAGCGGGCGCCGGCGCGTCCAGCGTTAAAGGGTAACGAAGGTAGGTATTTTAACTATTTGGCTTAATTATATTTATATGAGATGAGCACGAAACGAAAGCGGTGCGAGCGGGGATCGGGCGGTGGCGGGCGCGGCCCATGGAGCGAGGCGGCGAGGCGGCGAGGCGGTGACGCGGTGAGGAGGCGAGGCGGCGAGGCAGCGAGGCAGCCGGCGCCGGCTACTCGTCGGCCTCCTCGTCCTCGGACTCCTGCTGCTGCAGCCACGTCAGCCACGTGTTCACCTGACACATATAACCATGACCTGCTTTATACTGTACTCTAACCAGGTCTGTAGCCCAGGGGAACCCACAACAGAGTAGGAAATGCAAATTTGGACGGGTCATCAAAGCAAAATACCTTCATTGCCCCAGGGTTCCCGCATCTCTAAATCCGACACTGACTTTAACTATTGTCACATCGAGAACCATTTAAGTGACCCTCTTTTAAAATCCTTCAATATATTTCAATTACTCATGCAAGCGCACCTTGCAGAAAATTTTTTTGACATCAGCTCTTCAAGATTTTGTTTTTACCACTGTCAGCGTGATTAATGTCTATTGTCTATCCGTGCGCATTATGGCTTTCTAGCACCAGTGCCTCTGACCGAAGCAGGTAGCAGACAGACGGACGGAGATGGAACTAAAAGGGTACCATCTTGACTACGGAACTTTAAAAATAACCGCTAACAAAGTGTTTTACCTAAGTAAGCAACTTTGCACAATCACCGTGTTATTCAAAAAAGTTGGACTTATATACAAGAGATAGAAATTGATAGGTCGAAATCAGAGCTCGGTAAACATTATAAATAATTATTTGTATGTCAAGGTTATACTTTATACCGTATTGCGCTAAACCACAGGGTCGGAATTTATGTTATTGCATTCCTGTTGCTCTTGTCAGTATTCAAAATATGACATATTCAGTTTCACAATTTAACATATTTCCCTCAACATTTTTTAGGATTAGCAGGAATACCTCGACGATACTCTGATTATCCAGATATCTATATTTCTTGAAATATTATTTCATTATGTTTTTATTTATTTTAAGCATTTAACTGCTAGATGTTTAAATCTAAAGAAAAGTTTACTAGAAAACAATCCACGCGGACCAGGCAGCGGACGGGACTCGAACCCGCACCCTTCGCTATCCTTATTTTCTTTAGATACTTAATACTTGAAAAAGTATTCATTTGACATTGTGGATTACCTACAATGCGAAGAGATGGCGCTACCTTGCAGCTTAAGGCTAGGAAAATTTCGACGCGGCGAATAGGGCCGTGGTAGCATAACGGTCAGTGCATTCGCCCGGATAGCGAAGGGTGCGGGTTCGAGTCCCGTCCGCTGCCTGGTCCGAGTGGATTTTTTTCTAGTAAACTTTTCTTTATATTATTTCATCTTTAGGATCATATATTTCATTATTAGCAAATATACTTTTACTTATTATTGTATGAGAATCAATAATTTAATCAATGAATTGTTTTATTTCGCGCGCGTTATTTATTTAAATCTAGGTCTGGGGCTGGAAGCAATCGCTGCATCTGTTGAATATTGGCAGTCGGAGAGGGGGAGACATGTTACCTGGAACAGCGCCTCCCCCTTGCCGGGGTAGGCGTCGGTGACGTCCTCCCTCCAGCGCAGGAAGGCGTCCTCCTCGCAGACCTCGAGGTTGTAGAGGTACATGAACCAGCGCAGCAGCATGCCCTTCGGGTACCGGTGCTGGTGCGCGTGCACCTGCAAACATACTAATAAATAAATAAATATTTCCAACACTCACACCAACTAGCCTAGCCCCAAAGTAAGCACTGTAAGGCTCGTGTTATGGGCTGCTAGGGTAACGTTTAGAATACATATACTGTACATATATAAGTATTTTTATACAGAAATACATATTAAACATCCATGACTCGAGTACAAATGCTCGTATTCATCACACAAACATCTGCCCCCACCGGGATTCGAACCCGGGACCTCTCGAGTCGGCGACGCCATGAAACCCGGCGTACAAACCACTCGGCCACGGAGGTCGTCGGAGTAATACACAGTTCAATACATAGTACAATGCGATATGACAGCGTGAAGAGCAAATGGATGTGGCTCAGAATAAACTGCTTCTTTACAGAATGTCTCGGGCAGCGCTGGTTTTCAGCCACACCCACTTCTCCTTAGATGAAAGCGAGAAATGCAAAAGAAATCCAACTTTTACGATCATATTGTGTGTGTGTGTTTGTGTACGGGCGTATGTTGTGTACTGTGTTTGTGTCTGTGCCCATGTGAGCGGGTGCATACTCGTGGATGTGTTTATGCATATGCCAAATCCATATTTTTTAAGCTATTGCATAGATTTCATCGCGGGCTTTGAGCGCGGCGACCGAATCAAGAAATTCCGTAACGAAAAAACCTTACACCCCTGAATAAACTTGGCTGTCGTGGGATGTTCAATTGAAAGGCTGAAGTATATCCATACAGTTTAAATATGGCAACCAGCGGCGCGTAGGTCTCGAGCAGCGCGGGCTCGCGTGTGTATATAGTGACCTGCACGGCATACACCGCGGCCAGCTGCAGGTCGTGGCGCGCGGCCAGCAGCGGCGCGTAGGTCTCGAGCAGCGCGGGCTCGTGTGTGTATATAGTGACCTGCACGGCATACACCGCGGCCAGCTGCAGGTCGTGGCGCGCGGCCAGCAGCGGCGCGTAGGTCTCGAGCAGCGCGGGCTCGTGTGTGTATATAGTGACCTGCACGGCATACACCGCGGCCAGCTGCAGGTCGTGGCGCGCGGCCAGCAGCGGCGCGTAGGTCTCGAGCAGCGCGGGCTCGTGTGTGTATATAGTGACCTGCACGGCATACACCGCGGCCAGCTGCAGGTCGTGGCGCGCGGCCAGCAGCGGCGCGTAGGTCTCGAGCAGCGCGGGCTCGTGTGTGTATATAGTGACCTGCACGGCATACACCGCGGCCAGCTGCAGGTCGTGGCGCGCGGCCAGCAGCGGCGCGTAGGTCTCGAGCAGCGCGGGCTCGTGTGTGTATATAGTGACCTGCACGGCATACACCGCGGCCAGCTGCAGGTCGTGGCGCGCGGCCAGCAGCGGCGCGTAGGTCTCGAGCAGCGCGGGCTCGTGTGTGTATATAGTGACCTGCACGGCATACACCGCGGCCAGCTGCAGGTCGTGGCGCGCGGCCAGCAGCGCGGTGAGCAGCGGCGCGTAGGTCTCGAGCAGCGCCCGCTCCCGCTCGAGCGCGGGCTTGTCCGGCGCGGGTCCGGCGGCTCCGGCGGCGTCGGTCACGTGTCCGGCCACGAGCGCCACCAGCGTCGACACGAACGCCGCGTTCGCGCGCACGCCCGGCTCCACGTTGTTCTGTCGGGACAATGCACCATGCGATGAGAGAACGCTCTAAAAACGAAACCATACATGATGGAAGAAGAACCATACATACAAATGCGAGTAACATAGGAAGCTCCTTCTGCACGAAACTCTCACAGCTTATTCGATAAGATCTCTTTTTAAGAAAAACTATGTTTCGAGATAAACCACAAATATAATAGGGTATTTGACAGTATTAAAAATAAAGAGCCGATTGTTAGCATCTGTGTTTAGAATGAATATTGGCAGGGGTTTTTACTATTTTTACAAAAAAAATATTCATAATTTTACTAAAAACCCACGAAAAAGATAATAGGAATGGAGACAGTGTCTCAAATTATAGACCCATTTCCGTGCTTTCTGTTTTCTCGAAAATCTTAAAGAAAATACTAAAAAAAAGATTAATTGACTTTCTGAATGCTAAACAAACTATTTCAACAAATCAGTTTGGTTTTAGAGCGGGAAAATCCACTAAAGATGCGGTCCTTGAACTTACTGGGTCAATTGTCAAAAACTTAAACAAGAAGTTAAAGTCTCTGTGCCTCTTTTTAGACATTTCAAAGGCTTTTGACACTGTCTCGGTCCCTATACTATTGCACAAATTGGAAGTCTTGGGGGTCCGTGGGTTGGTACTGGAATTGTTCAGAAGCTATCTTAGCCGCAGATATCAGTGTGTTACCATTAATGATATCACCAGTAACGAGAAATCAAACATATCTGGAGTTTCTCAGGGTAGTGTGCTGGGCCCGACCCTATTTCTAATATATATTAATGGTTTGTGTCAGCTGTGTCTGCCGAATTGTAAAATTTTCACCTACGCAGATGATACGGCAATTCTTGTACATGGACAGAATTAGGAAGAAACTCGAGCTTACGCTAAATGTGCCTTAAAAACAGTTTTATCATGGCTTTCCAATAACATGTTGCTTTTAAACCTAAAAAAAACTTTCTTTATTACATTTATACCTAAACTTCATTCTCAACCTGATGCCTCATTTAGAATAACTGCTCATGAGACTCAGTGTCCCACCATAGATAATCTTTTGCTTGTATTTTGCAAATGTTATGAAATATTACGTTTAAATAATGTGAAATATTTGGGTATTATCGTTGACAGTGTAATGTCCTGGCGGGATCATATTGAATCGGTTTCTTCTCGTATCAGGAAACTGATATTTATCTTCAGGAAACTACGTATCAGTGCTGATGAGGGTACATTGAAGACAGCTTATCTAACACTAGCTCAATCAATATTGACTTATTGTATCACCGTCTGGGGTTCCTCCGCAAAAACCAATCTCATGTTAATTGACTCAGGGCTCAACGAGCAGTACTAAAAGTTATGGCATCAAAACCTATTTGGTACTCAACAGTTCAGCTTTATGAGTTATGGAAGGTTCTATCGGTTCGAAAACTATACGTTTCTAATGTTATCTTGCGTAAGCACATATCCTGCACTTATAATCCCGAGTTAGCTTTAAATACTAGATTAGCTAACAGAATCTTCAGGATTGAAAACTGCACAATGATGCTGGCTAGACGACATTATTTGTACCTTAGCTCAGTTTTGTACTGTGGTGATGGGGTGTGTTATGCTCTTCCCCCGTCATTCTAGGTAAGAAGGCTAGTGCGGTCTATAAATCAAAACTTGCCATTTTATAAAAATAATATCTTAAAACTTTAAATTGCGAAAATACATTAATAAACAATAAATCAAAAGACTACCGGACAAAATTAATACAAAAAAAATGGGTGCGTGTACTTATGTAGGCGCGTGAGAAGTTATCCTTCTTTGGCATCGTTTAAAATTAGTTTTTAATTGCATGCAAATAATTAATCACAATAAATTAATAAAAAGTCTGGAAAAGGACACAGTCAATAAAGTTCAGTTTTAATTTGAAAAAATAAATAAATAATGAAAATATTCAATTAAAATCGCTACTGAATATAATTTATTAGAACATATGTGATTTGCACTTGTATGAAACTCAAACACGTATTCCGAATATACAAACTAGAAACACGTGGATAAATATTATAAATATGAATACCTATAACTGTTACTTTATTACAAAAAATAAAGATGTGGTTTTTGGTTCTACTACACCAATGGTCAAGAGATGGCGCTGTAGTCTCCTGAATCGCGCTTTGGTTCCGTTGTTCCAGATTAATAAATACTTTTGATATTATAAATATGAATACCTATAACTGTTACTTTATTACAAAAAATGAAGATGTGGTTTTTGGTTCTACTACACCAATGGTCAAGAGATGGCGTTGTAGTCTCCTGAATCGCGCTTTGGTTCCGTTGTTCCAGATTAATAAATACTTTTGGTAGGCCTTCACAATGCAGTCGTTAGCACCCACTAAATAGAGATTCTATTTTGTTGGTAGATTTTCTTAATGTGCGGTAAACACAAGAGTAACAGCATGAAGTTGGTCGCTAAAGCGACCAAGTTCATGCTTTTAAAATTTTGTGTTACAGTGATGCGCGCGCATCTTAAAATTTCACTCTCATCATTTTTTCATAACGCGCCTAAAGAAGTATAACTTCAAAAAAATGAGATGAATTAACTGTTAATCTGTATTTTAAGATTTTAATACTTATTTATTTTAACAAACAAAAAAAAGTCGGGAAATATTTACTTATTGTTGCTTAATGCTAAACTGACGACACGACAACTTACTTGATATTAAATGTAGCTTCATGATTTCCTTCTTTATAACGTAGTCGTTTTCATGCCCTTTTCAGTATTATAATTTCCATCTTCAAGGTATCTTCATATATACGTGAAACCGAGGAACCGAGTGCGTAGGTAATTTGTTTGCAGTTTGCCGTAATTCAATAATCATCTTCAGTTTTGCGAACCCTTCTGGGTCTTTGCGCTCAGAAGTAAGCTGCCATGGTCGATTGAAATTTTCAAAAACTCACATAATGGACCCCGTCCGATGCAGCACGATCTTCTACGTCACGGTCGCCATGTGGCGATGGGGTGTGGGTGACTCATGGGAGAAGTCACTACGAGCGTTCAATGTGAAATCAACCTTTTATTAAGTTAACCTACATCTTATATACTACTTATAATACGTATACGACATGCTTAGGGCTTAGATACCTAATCGTATCGGGGATGATTATCATCACGTAGAACACGTGATTCACACTTCACCACAGTACAATAAAATTAATTATAAATTACATATTTCCAGTTTATCATATCGTGAATGTAAAAGTGTTTTAAATGAGTGGCTGCTTAGCCTTCGATATGAAGATATCGAATCTCTTATACAGTAAAATAATAAATAAAAAATGATGCAAACCTACAAAATACAAAGAGAGATACACACACACACACACACACACAAACACATACGCAAAAACGTTTTTATAAATGTTAAAATTAGTATTTTTAGTGTTTATTGTTACTAGTTATCATGTTCGAGGTGGGGCGCTAATAACTGCGACACAGTCTCTGACTAATGTAGTTATTAAAGTTTTACATTGTTCTGTACAAACTATTTAATTGCAAATAAAGATTTTTATTATTATTATTATCTATTGTCACGTGACCCAAAACGCTTGGGATTGGCGGAGCCTAAAATGTCGTCACACGCAAGTAAACTTCCGATTAAAGTGACATTACATTGTATCGTTTGACGTTTTAATAACAGTCGTGTGACGTCACACACTAGTAAGACACCATATCTTCCAGAGAAACGTTTTCGCGGCAACTTGAAAATGGAGTTTTTGATTTGGTTATTTTTACTGAAATACACAACAGAATGATGAATATCCACTTGTTACGGACTCCATAATCATTAGTCAATAACGTGAGATCGTTTTCTATAACTTGTCAAATACCCTATTGTTGTTAATGTATATTTATCAGCAGTATGCGATACCCTCTTTTATTTGATAAATCATTATTACATACAGGTGGGTATTTTTGCATTTCAGTGGAGTTTGGAGTATCCAATTCAAACCACCGTTGTAATGCAATATTCACTATATAGAGGCAATTCCACGCGTATGTTCCGCTGCTTCGACCTGTGGGCCAATCGCCTTACCAGGTTGCTTTGGAAAACGCTATCGCTTACGATTTCATTTTGTTATTTCTAACCGCCGAAATACCTCACTCTCATTTTCTTTAACATTGTTATTACCAATGCAAAAGAAAAAAAAAGAGCGCGAGGCATTTGAAAACCTCAGGGGGCTAGAAATAACAAAATGAAATCGTAAGCGATAGCGTTTTCCAAAGCAATCCAGTTAGGCGATTGGCCCCCTGTATAACCATGAAAGTTTGTTAAGCCATAGAGGGTTGGCATTGTTGTACCTGAATAGTTGCGCGTAGATGACATTACATTCAGAATGGATTCAGGCGAGGTTCTTCTTAAGACTCTACGGTAAGATCCGTGGCGAAAAAAGAAGACCGAGTATTTATTGGAGTCAACAGTGCCACTTCAGAGTGGGTACGGGTCAACTAGGACTTTCATGTATATTCGCTATAGTTATCCCTTAAGATTTCATTTTGTTATTAACCGGGTTGAGGCCGCGCGCCCGCTAGTCGTACCTTGATCCAGCGGTACAGCACATGCGGCCCGGGGTCCTGCTGCAGCTGCCGGGCCAGCTGCGGCACCAGCGGGTCGAGGCCGCGCGCCCGCTAGTCGTACCTTGATCCAGCGGTACAGCACATGCGGCCCGGGGTCCTGCTGCAGCTGCCGGGCCAGCTGCGGCACCAGCGGGTCGAGGCCGCGCGCCCGCTAGTCGTACCTTGATCCAGCGGTACAGCACATGCGGCCCGGGGTCCTGCTGCAGCTGCCGGGCCAGCTGCGGCACCAGCGGGTCGAGGCCGCGCGCCCGCTAGTCGTACCTTGATCCAGCGGTACAGCACATGCGGCCCGGGGTCCTGCTGCAGCTGCCGGGCCAGCTGCGGCACCAGCGGGTCGAGGCCGCGCGCCCGCTAGTCGTACCTTGATCCAGCGGTACAGCACATGCGGCCCGGGGTCCTGCTGCAGCTGCCGGGCCAGCTGCGGCACCAGCGGGTCGAGGCCGCGCGCCCGCTAGTCGTACCTTGATCCAGCGGTACAGCACATGCGGCCCGGGGTCCTGCTGCAGCTGCCGGGCCAGCTGCGGCACCAGCGGGTCGAGGCCGCGCGCCCGCTAGTCGTACCTTGATCCAGCGGTACAGCACATGCGGCCCGGGGTCCTGCTGCAGCTGCCGGGCCAGCTGCGGCACCAGCGGGTCGAGGCCGCGCGCCCGCTAGTCGTACCTTGATCCAGCGGTACAGCACATGCGGCCCGGGGTCCTGCTGCAGCTGCCGGGCCAGCTGCGGCACCAGCGGGTCGAGGCCGCGCGCCCGCTAGTCGTACCTTGATCCAGCGGTACAGCACATGCGGCCCGGGGTCCTGCTGCAGCTGCCGGGCCAGCTGCGGCACCAGCGGGTCGAGGCCGCGCGCCCGCTAGTCGTACCTTGATCCAGCGGTACAGCACATGCGGCCCGGGGTCCTGCTGCAGCTGCCGGGCCAGCTGCGCCTGCACCCGCAGCTGCGGCACCAGCGGGTCGAGGCCGCGCGCCTCCAGCTCCGCGAGGGCTCCCTCGGCGCTGCCGTCTCCCAGTTCCGTCGCGTACGCGCTCAGGTTTATCTGCCGGAACACATTCATGATATTATTCACTAGGATAGGATAACTTACAAAGTTCAAGAAGTTTTTTAACCGTTCTCCTTTTATTTATTTTCTAATTTGACATACCAGCAACAATTTCACAAATTGCAATTGCATTGCATGCATTTACAACATTGATTATATGCAGACAAGTACATATATTTGTAACAGTAACAAATTACTGTTCGGTTTGAACGTTACCATACAAATGATTTTGAATGAGGGCTTTGAGTGGAGCTGCCAACGAGATGAAGATGATGATGAGAAGAGATGTCAACATCATGGCATATCTCGTTGTATGCATGTTTAATTCTGTTAAAAGGTAAAGCTAATTTTGTTTCAAAGGTACAGTTAACGAATAATTTGATGGATTAACGGGGATTTTTTCTGGAAACCTTTAACTTAATTTCCGCAAGAAGGTCTTGCGCAAAAATATTGCCGTGAAGTAATTTATTCAGAAATAAAATGTTTAGTAAGAAGTTTAAAGTATTACGACGAGTATGGTAATCCGCGCGGTAAGGACACTTCCTGTCTTTGAACTTTGGTTGCTTGATTTATGTTTACAGAATTCGTGCTGTTTGCATGAATAATGTTTTTAAAATGGGAAGTTAAAAACAGGCAGATATCTATATATATAAAACTCAAAGGTGACTGACTGACATGGTGATCTATCAACGCACAGCCCAAACCACTGGACGGATCTGGCCGAAATTTGGCATGCAGGTAGATGTTATGACGGCATCCGCTAAGAAAGGATTTTGATCAATTCTACCCCCAAGGGGATAAAAAAGGGAATGAAAGTTTGTATGAAACTTTGTCAATTTTAAACCGATCGGGCTGAGACTTTGCATGCAGGTATAAGAAGGATCATAGATGAATGTCATTGTATATAATACAAGCCCGAGAACAAAAAAAAAACAAACTTAACTTTTTTTAACAACTCGCTAGTGAGGGCTGCGTTCCAAACTTTCAACTTTTCACTCTGACGTATCAATTTTAACATATAATGCACAAAACTTCTGTCAAATTTGACATTTGTTGCAACTGGATCGTAGGTTTAGAACGTAGTAAAACATTGCTGCAGTTTTGTGTACGACAACTTAAAACAATACTAATTGATATGAAAATGATTGTTATGGATGAATACGCGCACGGCTTACTTGATAGCTAATTGCGAACTAACTTAATAAATAATTGACCATTATTGAAAATATTAAAATAAGATCAATTAGTAGAATGATGAGCGGGCGAAATGTACGTAGCTTGCTCATACATGAGCAGTAGACGGCGTGTGTAGAGAAACATGTTTGAATAACAAAGTTTAGTGTATGTGTTTTTGTTGAATGTTTTCAAAATCTTTAGTTGCAGGCTCAGCTTTACTTCTACAATTCTTTCGATAGTAGAAAAGCAAAATCACTCATCACTTTGGTGCTGCTAAAAATTTAACATTACATAAAACTGAAATTAAGTTAATTTTTAAAGAGCATCAAAGTGGCGTATAAGCAATTTTGCTTTAACACTGTCGATTTCAATCGGTTGATTTTCGTAAATGTGACATAAGCTTAATTTTGTAAGTGGAAGAATTTGTACAGTGCTATTGAATTTGTGTTGCATTTTGTATATTATATTTGTTTCACTTATTTTACTAATACTTACTGCAATAATTTATTTAAACCAATATGCATATCTACAGTGTCAAATTAATCATGTTATAAAAAGGTACATTTTGCAGTTAAGAGGTGAGAGTTTACAAATTGAAATAGCTACAGTCGACGTGTGTTTCTACTACAATAATTCTCGGGAGTCACGCGTAGGTACATATATGATTTAACGATGCTTAGAATTGCGTCATCACTCCAGTTTTGATCGTTTTGTTTGTAAGCGATTGTGTGAGAAAGCGTTCCACTGTTATCTGTATTTGCACGCGGCACATACCTGAGTGTCGTCCAGCATGCGGGCGAGGCGCGCGGTGCCCAGGTGCTTGTGCAGCAGCTGCAGCACGCGCAGCAGCAGGGCGCGGTCGGTGCCGCAGTGTGTATGTATGTATGTATGTATGTATGTATGTATGTATGTATGTATGTATGTATGCACGCGGGCGCGGCACATACCTGAGTGTCGTCCAGCATGCGGGCGAGGCGCGCGGTGCCCAGGTGCTTGTGCAGCAGCTGCAGCACGCGCAGCAGCAGGGCGCGGTCGGTGCCGCAGTGTGTATGTATGTATGTATGTATGTATGTATGTATGTATGTATGTATGTATGTATGCACGCGGGCGCGGCACATACCTGAGTGTCGTCCAGCATGCGGGCGAGGCGCGCGGTGCCCAGGTGCTTGTGCAGCAGCTGCAGCACGCGCAGCAGCAGGGCGCGGTCGGTGCCGCAGTGTGTATGTATGTATGTATGTATGTATGTATGTATGTATGTATGTATGTATGTATGCACGCGGGCGCGGCACATACCTGAGTGTCGTCCAGCATGCGGGCGAGGCGCGCGGTGCCCAGGTGCTTGTGCAGCAGCTGCAGCACGCGCAGCAGCAGGGCGCGGTCGGTGCCGCAGTGTGTATGTATGTATGTATGTATGTATGTATGTATGCACGCGGGCGCGGCACATACCTGAGTGTCGTCCAGCATGCGGGCGAGGCGCGCGGTGCCCAGGTGCTTGTGCAGCAGCTGCAGCACGCGCAGCAGCAGGGCGCGGTCGGTGCCGCAGTGTGTATGTATGTATGTATGTATGTATGTATGTATGTATGCACGCGGGCGCGGCACATACCTGAGTGTCGTCCAGCATGCGGGCGAGGCGCGCGGTGCCCAGGTGCTTGTGCAGCAGCTGCAGCACGCGCAGCAGCAGGGCGCGGTCGGTGCCGCAGTGTGTATGTATGTATGTATGTATGTATGTATGTATGTATGTATGTATGTATGTATGCACGCGGGCGCGGCACATACCTGAGTGTCGTCCAGCATGCGGGCGAGGCGCGCGGTGCCCAGGTGCTTGTGCAGCAGCTGCAGCACGCGCAGCAGCAGGGCGCGGTCGATGCCGCAGTGTGTATGTATGTATGTATGTATGTATGTATGCACGCGGGCGCGGCACATACCTGAGTGTCGTCCAGCATGCGGGCGAGGCGCGCGGTGCCCAGGTGCTTGTGCAGCAGCTGCAGCACGCGCAGCAGCAGGGCGCGGTCGGTGCCGCAGTGTGTATGTATGTATGTATGTATGTATGTATGTATGTATGTATGTATGTATGTATGCACGCGGGCGCGGCACATACCTGAGTGTCGTCCAGCATGCGGGCGAGGCGCGCGGTGCCCAGGTGCCTGTGCAGCAGCTGCAGCACGCGCAGCAGCAGGGCGCGGTCGGTGCCGCAGTGTGCCGCAGCCTCGGCCAGCGGCAGCACGCGCAGCCGCGCCGCGTGCGCCAGCAGCGCCGCGTGAGCGTCGGCGCCGTCGCTAAACAACACACATCATGTTTGATTAATTTTAAGTTTCCCAAATTAAAGCATTATATATAGATATAAGTAAAGCGTTCGATAAGGTCAATCACTATAATGCTGAAGAAATTATGCTTGGCAGGTGTTCACGGCTCCTAGACTGGTGTCATTCTTATCTTTCTGAGAGATATCAAAAAGTAGTTACTTGTGGATATGAATCTGATTATATTCTGGTTTACTCGGGAGTTCCTCAGGGATCACGTTTGGGACCTCTCTTTTTTCTAGCATTTATAAACGATCTGGTTCGAGTCATTAAGTACTCAAGTTGTTTATTGTTTGCCGACGATCTTAAAATATACAAAACTGTCTAAAATTCCAATGATGCTGAGCTTTTACAAAAAGACCAATCTGGACCAAATAGCGGCTTGGTCACACGCAAATATGCTTCCTTTTAATCCTGACAAATGTAAGTAAGTCTGCATATTCTATAAATTCCCAAGTTCTTGAAGAGGTATCGTCCATTCAAGATCTCGGTATTGTTTTGGATAAAAAATTACTTTTCACTCATTATTTTGACCATATTATATCTAAGAGTTTAAAAATGCTGGGATTTCTTGTAAGCGGTTTAAAAATGTTGAAGCATTGAAACTTCTATACTTTGCTTTGGTACGCAGTTCCTTAGAGTATTGTTCTGCTATTTGGAATCCTCTTTATGAGTGTCATAAAAGCAGAACTGAAAGAATCCAAAAAAAGTTTTTGTCTGTTCTAACTAGACACCAGGGAAAAAGATATGAACTCATCTCATATAAGGATAAATTGGAGTATTTCGAGTTGGTTTCATTGCGGAAACGCAGATGGGTTGCTGATCAGATTTTACTGTATAAAATTCTGAGAGGTAACATTGATTGTCCTCAACTCTTAGTGAAATTAGTTTTAATATACCACGACCAAATTTCAGACCAGCTAACTATAAATTATTTAATTTAAATACTTATAAAACCAACGTACGCAGTGTTTTAAATAGGATTTGTGAAGAACATAATAAAACCTGTACTGGGTCCTTGGTAGGCGTTGATTTGTTCGCTGCGTCATTGATTGCATTTGGGAGGGCTTTGCTATCGAGCATTGATTGTGGCACTTTGATTATAGTTTAGTTTTATGTATGTTTTTTTTTATACCTAGTTTAGTTTCAGATCATTAATTTTGACAGAAATAAGAGTTGCGTATGCTTGTAACTGTTTTTGCACAACTTTATGTATAATGTATGTTTTTTTTTTAAACAAAATGTTGGCATGCCTGATAAATAAATAAATTTGTATAATGGTCAATTCTGAAACCTACGTAATTTTTTTTTTTTTAAGAGTACAGAATTCAAAATTATTTAGGAAGTTTTCGATAAAGATTAATGTTTCCGGGTTTAAATTATAGTTTTCTACAGAAAATTTTACTAGAAAAAATTCCACGCAGATCACAGATACCAGACGGGTCTCGAACCTCGCTATCCGGGCGTATGCACTGATCATTATGCTACCGCGGCCTTGACGGCCGTGTCAGATTTTCCCTAGCCCTTCCTCGCGCTGCACGACCATGGCGCCCGCCCACGACACCTGTCCGCGCCCCGCCCCTCGCACTACTCACACATGGCCCGGGCTGGGCGGCACACGCGGGGGCGCGGCCCGCAGCGCGTCCAGCAGGGCGGCGCTGGGCGCGCGCCGCACGCGCTGCACGACCATGGCGCCCGCCCACGACACCTGTCCGCGCCCCGCCCCTCGCACTACTCACACATGGCCCGGGCTGGGCGGCACACGCGGGGGCGCGGCCCGCAGCGCGTCCAGCAGGGCGGCGCTGGGCGCGCGCCGCACGCGCTGCACGACCATGGCGCCCGCCCACGACACCTGTCCGCGCCCCGCCCCTCGCACTACTCACACATGGCCCGGGCTGGGCGGCACACGCGGGGGCGCGGCCCGCAGCGCGTCCAGCAGGGCGGCGCTGGGCGCGCGCCGCACGCGCTGCACGACCATGGCGCCCGCCCACGACACCTGTCCGCGCCCCGCCCCTCGCACTACTCACACATGGCCCGGGCTGGGCGGCACACGCGGGGGCGCGGCCCGCAGCGCGTCCAGCAGGGCGGCGCTGGGCGCGCGCCGCACGCGCTGCACGACCATGGCGCCCGCCCACGACACCTGTCCGCGCCCCGCCCCTCGCACTACTCACACATGGCCCGGGCTGGGCGGCACACGCGGGGGCGCGGCCCGCAGCGCGTCCAGCAGGGCGGCGCTGGGCGCGCGCCGCACGCGCTGCACGACCATGGCGCCCGCCCACGACACCTGTCCGCGCCCCGCCCCTCGCACTACTCACACATGGCCCGGGCTGGGCGGCACACGCGGGGGCGCGGCCCGCAGCGCGTCCAGCAGGGCGGCGCTGGGCGCGCGCCGCACGCGCTGCACGACCATGGCGCCCGCCCACGACACCTGTCCGCGCCCCGCCCCTCGCACTACTCACACATGGCCCGGGCTGGGCGGCACACGCGGGGGCGCGGCCCGCAGCGCGTCCAGCAGGGCGGCGCTGGGCGCGCGCCGCACGCGCTGCACGACCATGGCGCCCGCCCACGACACCTGTCCGCGCCCCGCCCCTCGCACTACTCACACATGGCCCGGGCTGGGCGGCACACGCGGGGGCGCGGCCCGCAGCGCGTCCAGCAGGGCGGCGCTGGGCGCGCGCCGCACGCGCTGCACGACCATGGCGCCCGCCCACGACACCTGTCCGCGCCCCGCCCCTCGCACTACTCACACATGGCCCGGGCTGGGCGGCACACGCGGGGGCGCGGCCCGCAGCGCGTCCAGCAGGGCGGCGCTGGGCGCGCGCCGCACGCGCTGCACGACCATGGCGCCCGCCCACGACACCTGTCCGCGCCCCGCCCCTCGCACTACTCACACATGGCCCGGGCTGGGCGGCACACGCGGGGGCGCGGCCCGCAGCGCGTCCAGCAGGGCGGCGCTGGGCGCGCGCCGCACGCGCTGCACGACCATGGCGCCCGCCCACGACACCTGTCCGCGCCCCGCCCCTCGCACTACTCACACATGGCCCGGGCTGGGCGGCACACGCGGGGGCGCGGCCCGCAGCGCGTCCAGCAGGGCGGCGCTGGGCGCGCGCCGCACGCGCTGCACGACCATGGCGCCCGCCCACGACACCTGTCCGCGCCCCGCCCCTCGCACTACTCACACATGGCCCGGGCTGGGCGGCACACGCGGGGGCGCGGCCCGCAGCGCGTCCAGCAGGGCGGCGCTGGGCGCGCGCCGCACGCGCTGCACGACCATGGCGCCCGCCCACGACACCTGTCCGCGCCCCGCCCCTCGCACTACTCACACATGGCCCGGGCTGGGCGGCACACGCGGGGGCGCGGCCCGCAGCGCGTCCAGCAGGGCGGCGCTGGGCGCGCGCCGCACGCGCTGCACGACCATGGCGCCCGCCCACGACACCTGTCCGCGCCCCGCCCCTCGCACTACTCACACATGGCCCGGGCTGGGCGGCACACGCGGGGGCGCGGCCCGCAGCGCGTCCAGCAGGGCGGCGCTGGGCGCGCGCCGCACGCGCTGCACGACCATGGCGCCCGCCCACGACACCTGTCCGCGCCCCGCCCCTCGCACTACTCACACATGGCCCGGGCTGGGCGGCACACGCGGGGGCGCGGCCCGCAGCGCGTCCAGCAGGGCGGCGCTGGGCGCGCGCCGCACGCGCTGCACGACCATGGCGCCCGCCCACGACACCTGTCCGCGCCCCGCCCCTCGCACTACTCACACATGGCCCGGGCTGGGCGGCACACGCGGGGGCGCGGCCCGCAGCGCGTCCAGCAGGGCGGCGCTGGGCGCGCGCCGCACGCGCTGCACGACCATGGCGCCCGCCCACGACACCTGTCCGCGCCCCGCCCCTCGCACTACTCACACATGGCCCGGGCTGGGCGGCACACGCGGGGGCGCGGCCCGCAGCGCGTCCAGCAGGGCGGCGCTGGGCGCGCGCCGCACGCGCTGCACGACCATGGCGCCCGCCCACGACACCTTCTCGTCGGCGCCCTCCGCCAGCGCCGCCTCCACCACGCTGGCCACCACGCGACGCAACACCTGACGACCGCACAGCACAAGAATTACACTATACTCCCGAACTCTAAAACGGTACTACATAAGCAAATATTTTAAACAAGTTTCGGTGATCAAGTAACTCTGTAACAATATTCACAAATGAAATATTAGGGGCATTCCACGTGAAGCGGACAGGTAAAAAAACTCGATGTTTCCGATTTCAGTAATATTTGAGTATGTTCTACTTATAGTTATTATTGATACGTGTACCAAATATTTTTGTGATATAATGACTAGTTAAAGAGTAATGGGACTTTGAAGTTTTCGACAACCGGTTGGCATGTAGTACTTCAAAGCCGTATATGGACTCATAAAATTATATATTAAAATAACTTAACCACTGGATTTCCTACTTTATTTACTGGGCTTTTTAACTGTGTTTTTGGAATAGAGAAAAAATTTTTTTTTTCGTAAAAAAAAACCAATTTAAGTTTTTTCTCTTGATTTTCACTAAGTTAGACCATTTAGTTTTTTTTTATTTTTTTAATATAAATTGCTAATATTGTATAGAACATTAGTGCCAACTTTTATAATGGGCGTGGAAGTGGATTAGGAGCTAGACTGAAAATACTGCCGAAGGGTGGCGTCCAGCGCCGCGCCTGTTGACCGCCGCTTGTGCGCGATTAGTCATCAAACCGTCAATCAAATAAAATCACTTTTGACGGAATGTTTTGTAGATTTTTAAGAAAACCAATACATTTTTAATGCCTATTAAGTACTAAAATACGTTACAACTACACTTTTAATTATAAATATACATTTTTTTATTCTCCATAATATGTGTATGAAATAAGGCCTAAAGGGCTTGTATCCAGGCCATAATATTAAAAAAAAGTTAATGATGGCGCCATGTTTGACAATTTTACCGCGTAATTTTGTGACGAGTGAGAGTGACTTTGTTAGTTCTGTGAGATTATATCGCTATTAAAAATATTTGAATATCATGACTCCTTACGGGGATCGATGTTATAATCCGTTTAATTTACCTGTACATAGAAAAACTAAAGGATTGAGGAAGTTATCACAAGTGCTAGCAGAAAAGTGGTCAATTACAAATAAAAACGTTAATTATTATGTGTGTAAGCAGTGTAGAGACCGTCTTGCTAGTGAAGAACCCTTAATTATTGATGATGTGATCCTAAATAGTCAAGCAAGCCAATCATCACTCCAAAATTCACAAGTCTCGTGTTATGTTCCGGAAGAAAATACGCTTACGAAGTCAACACAGACAAACGACATAAAATCCATTGACAACGAAATACTTTTACAATTGAAAGAGAAATTTAATGATCCTTCTACATCTGTTTCTGAGAAAACGATGATTCTTACCTTAGCACCTAAATCATGGAGCGAAAATAAACTTGCTGATGAATTCAATACCTCTAGACGGCAAGCAAAAAAAGCCAAGGAACTGGTTGAGCAGAACGGTATTTTATCATCGCCTAATCCACGAGAGGGCCGCAAGTTAACATCAGAAGTTGTAGATTTAGTTTCTGAATTTTATCTTAGAGAAGATAACACTAGAATAATGCCTGGGAAAAAAGACTTTGTGTCTGTTAAGCTACATGATGGCCAAAGAGTCCAATTACAAAAACAGCTATTATTGTGTAACATCAATGAATTATATCAACAGTTCAAATTGGAATACCCTGACACAAAAGTAGGTCTTTCAAAATTTTTTTCATTACGTCCTAAGCAGTGCATTCTTGCTGGTGATTCGGGTACTCATATAGTCTGCGTGTGTATTTACCATCAAAATGTTAAATTGATGCTAATCGGGGGGGATATTGCATCATTTACTTCTGAGTCTGCTATCCCCCTAGTATCGTACAAGGATTGCTTGCAAAAGATGATGTGTCCAGATCCGACACCAACTTGCAATTTAATGACAAGAAAATCGTCACTGAACGAACAATGCCAAAGTTGCCCTGGCCTTGTCGGAATTCGGGAACACTTACGAAATATATTTGACGCAAATCAAGTGACTAGTGTGCAGTTTAATACATGGGTTGGTACAGACCGATTCACAATCGCCACTCAAGTTCTTCCTTCTGATGAATTTGTCGACAGTCTTTGCTCAGGATTAGACGCTTTAAAACCTCACGCCTACATATCAGATCAGCAAACTCGGTATTTTAAATGATTAAAAGAGTCGATTTTGGAGGGTGACATAATCATTCAGTGCGATTTTGCTGAAAACTACAGCTTCGTAGTTCAAGACGCTGTCCAGGCATTTCACTGGAGTAACGACCAGGCTACTCTCCTCGCATCTGTGTATTATTACAAAAAGGAGCAAGAGTTAAAACACGGAAGTATTGTAATGATATCGGATGACCTAAAACATGACACTGCAACGTTTTATACCTTCCAAAAAATTTTACATCAACATTTACAAGAAAAGGATATATCAACCAATAAATATATTTACGTAACTGATGGTGCACCCCAGCACTTCAAAAACAGGTTTAATTTTATCAACCTGTTTTATTTTAAACAGGATTTCGGTACAGAGGCAGAGTTTCATTTTCATGCTACTTCTCATGGCAAAGGGCCATGTGATGGACTTGGGGGCAACTTGAAACGTTTGGCAACTCGAGCTAGTCTACAGTCGGCGTCAGACAAAGCGATCACTACACCCGAGCGTTTGTACCAATGGGCGAAAACATCAATGCCTCAAACGCACATTTTATATGCTCCAAAAGAGGACATTCAACAAAACCGATTGTTTTTAAAGAGCAGATTTGAATCGGCAGCGACAATACCAGGCACAAAAAAATATCATGCCTTTATTCCCACTACTGAAGGTATTATTATTAAACGCACGAGTAACAGTGAAGCATTTAAAATTGCAAAAATTTGTAAATAAAGTAATTAATCATAGAAGATAATTTGTTTTATTTAAAATATCAAACTACTAAAGAAAAAAAGTAATCTGAATAAAACAAATTTTACGGGTTAGATGCATTAATCTGCTTACTCACAAGTGGCGGCGTCAGGCGCGGCAGTGCGACGTCGCCGCGTCGCGGCGCTGGACGCCACCCTACGGCAGTATTTTCAGTCTAGCTCCTAATCCACTTCCACGCCCATTATAAAAGATGGCACTAATGTTCTATACAATATTAGCAATTTATATAAAAAAAAATAAAAAAAAACTAAATGGTCTAACTTAGTGAAAATCAAGGGAAAAAACTTTAATTGTTTTTTTTTTACGAAAAAAATTTTTTTTTTGCTTTTCCAAAAACACAGTTAAAAAGCCCAGTAAATAAAGTAAGAAATCCAGTGGTTTAGTTATTTTAATATATAATTTTATGACTCCATAATCGGCTTTGAAGTACTGCATGCCAACCGGTTGTCGAAAACTTCAAAGTCCCATTACTCTTTAACTAGTCATTATATCACAAAAATATTTGGTACACGTATCAATAGTAAGTATAAATAGAACATACTCAAATATTACTAAAATCGGAAACATCGAGTTTTTTTACCTGTCCGCTTCGCGTGGAATGCCCCATTATTGAATGACGAGATTACGTTATGAGACTTGTAAACTTCGTACGAGTACTTATTTGAATAAATTATAAAGTATGTCATTTTAGATTGATAATAAATAAGCTAAGCTAACCAAATCATTATTTCCACGACGGCAAAAGTAATAATTTTCTAATGACACGACATATGTTTAATGTTAGAGTTCAATTAATATAGTAGTTTAATAATGTAGTCATAATCGGGTTGGGGGTAATCTAACTTCCACCTATCTGCATAGCATGAAATATACCTAAGCAACAGACTGGGATCTGAGCATGCAGTCGAGATCAAGGGGTTTCAGAATCTGCCTAAAATTCAGCCAACGAAAAACGATACAAAATGTATAAAAATCGATGAATGGTCATTACTAATGACGTCTACGACGACGACTAATGAGTTGGTCGGTCGTACCTCGCCACCTGCATAGGGAGCCTGCAGCTGCCGCAGGTGCTTGATTGCCGGCGATCTGGGCACGCAGTTTAGGACCGGGGAGTTCTAAAATCTCTGCCTAATATGGTGTGTCAGGAGGATATGGACGTATAGTCGGGGTCGGGGGGCTCCAGCACATACCTTGTCGGGCGCCTGCAGCTGCAGCAGTCTCTCGAGGGCCGGGGAGGCGGGCACGTAGTCGGGGTCGGGGTCGGGGGGCTCCAGTACATACCTTGTCGGGCGCCTGCAGCTGCAGCAGTCTCTCGAGGGCCGGGGAGGCGGGCACGTAGTCGGGGTCGGGGTCGGGGGGCTCCAGTACATACCTTGTCGGGCGCCTGCAGCTGCAGCAGTCTCTCGAGGGCCGGGGAGGCGGGCACGTAGTCGGGGTCGGGCGGATCTTCGTCAGTCCACTCGCGCGCCACCTCCTGCACCGCCTCTACGCCCAGGCGGCACGCCTCTTCCTTGTTCACGCCCTAAGAGTAAAGCACACCACAATATAAGTTCAAATTGAATGTTTTAATGAAACTTCGTGGGATTTTTGGGTTACGTATATAGAGTATACCTGATTTTTTTCGAATTCGTTTTCATGTTTTTTTATAATTTGTGTACTTTTATATCCTTTCCTCCTTTTGCGTAGTTATTCAATTTCAACACGCATACTTACACACTCAATGAAAAACCACTAATATAAGCACTGCTAAAAAAGAGCGCGGGTCGACGACCGCGCCCGCCCGAAGTTGAGTGAGTAAGGTACACAGAGCTCGGCTGATGCGACTCCTTTGATTCCACACAATACAATAAAATCGTCTTACATGACAAATTTATTTAAATAATAAGCACAAATGTCATCTTCTCTTAAGCAGAGAAAATCCTAAAAAGTTTTATAACCAAGTATTCAAAAGTACTTATCAAACCGATGTACCTGTTAATTTTTTTCACTATAACTTCCCGTATACACTTTGTAAACAGAATCAATCATCAAACGTACTTTCGTAAAGCCATGCGGCTCTGCTGAGTATTTTATCAAACACGCAATAACAACTGTTCAAAGTTTTATATCGAGGTCACAGAACAAGAACTAATCGAGGCATAATTTGCAAATGTTATCTTGTCACAAAGTTAAAACATACGCACGCGCGAAGGATAGACTTGAGACTGCGTTGCGCTTTGCATCGCGCATAGGAAGGTAGGTAGGTACCTATTCAACGGCGAGAGCGGTCATTACTCCCGGCCGGCCGTCTTCTGTTTTTCCGTTTTTTACTTACTCTGTATGCGTGTTTAAAAGCATAATTACTTAGTAGCCAAAAGGAAGGAGGAAAGGACTTAAAAAATAGCAATACAAAACAATATTTAATTTTTAAATCGTTTTAAAAAATCCGAAAAAAAACAGAGATACTCTATATACGTAACGCACCAATCCCACTAAGTTTCATTAAAACATTTAATTTCAACTTATATAGACAGTAGCCAGAACAACGGCTCACACTATAACTTAAAATTGTAGCAACACGTATCCCTCATCATGTATAAATTTGGTTGCGTAAAAACGCCTTTTTTTTAACACACACCAATTAAAGAAAATATAACTAGAAAAAATTCCACGCGGACCAGGCAGCAGACGGGACTCGAACCCGCACCCTTCGCAATCCGGGCGAATGCACTGACCAATTATGCTACCGCGGCCCTCACGGACCGCGTCGAAATTCCCTCTAGCTATTCTTAAGCTGCAAGGCAGCGCCATCTCTTCGCATTATAGGTAAACCCACAATGTCAAATGAATACTTTTACAAGTATTAAACATTTGAAAGAAGAAATAGCAATTATAGTTATAATTTTTATTATTTTTAAAGCATGTAACTGCTTGATGTTTAAATCTAAAGAAAATATAACTAGAAAAAATTCCACGCGGACCAGGCAGCAGACGGGACTCGAACCCGCACCCTTCGCAATCCGGGCGAATGCACTGGCATAATTATAATTGGTCAGTGCATTCGCCCGGATTGCGAAGGGTGCGGGTTCGAGTCCCGTCTGCTGCCTGGTCCGCGTGGAATTTTTTCTAGTTATATTTTCTTTAGATTTAAACATCAAGCAGTTACATGCTTTAAAAATAATAAAAATTATAACACACCAATTAGCCTAGCCCCAAAGTAAGCACTGTAAGGCTTGTGTTATGGGATGCTAGGGTAACGGATAGAATACATATGTCGGAGGATGTGACGAGTACAGTTTCTTGTTGAATGTCAATCGCGAAAAGGCTATTGTTTACACTTTAAATAATTTTATAAAATCTTAATTTAATTTGAGTTTATTAATTACAATTTTTGTATTGTTCAGTAACTTAACAATTTAATAAAAGTCTCTTATAAATCATCTTATGTCGCGTCCAATCAGAGCAGAGCACGTGCCTCGAGTGGGGTCGAGGCGCCATCTTGATTTTCACAGGTGGGAGGTAGTTTTTGAGCGTATTTAAAGGCGAGGAACTGATCGTAGCGGTTCATTACTAGAAAGGTGATACGGTAGTTCAGTGAAGTCAGATTGGTACCTTGAACCCACTGCTCGGTTGTTACGTTATTTAAGTGTCCTTAGTGTAAAGTAAAGTGTGTGTGAAACATTTTTATTTTGTTTTTGTTAAAAGAACGTAATTAAAACTATACGAACAGTGATTGAGTGATTGTTTGGTTTTGTGCCTGTATCAAGCCCCAATGACGCCCACTAAGCCCGTGAACGCTAATGACAAAGTGAATAGCCGCTCTCCGACATCAGAAGCGGGATCGGTGCAGGCACAAAATGTACACGATTCAACCGGGGTCAACGACGTTTTGCAAGCTCTGTTTGAAGTGCATCAAAACAGCATGCAACGGATCGTGATATACAGCCCTTCGCGTAACAAGCATCAATCAACTTTGACTTCTGACCACAACAATACGGCTGCGGCTACGACGAGGCCCCCGGTGAGCTGCTACAGATGTGGTGTTGAGGGTCACATCGCATCACGATGCACGAAAACCTGGACAGCTACAAACAGCAGATTACAGCCTGCTGCTACATCCAGCATTGTGAAACGAGTGGACGTAGGCGGAGTGAAACCCGTCACTGGGGTGATCACATAATTTGGTGAGCAGTTTTCATTTTGGTTTGATTCCGGGGCTGATTGTTAGTTAATAGAAAGACTGTATGGTGTTTGAAGTATTTAAATGTTTAGCGTGGTGGCTCAATGAGTTGTTTGTAAGACTTTAGTAGCGTGGTGGTTGTAAAGTTTATGCTATGACGCCATAGAGGAGAGGAGGCCATTAAATTGTTGTTTAACAAGGAGGCTGTTAAGTGAAACGGCGAGGTGGCTGTTAAGTGCAACGGCGAGGTGACTGTTTAGTGTAACGGCGAGGTGACTGTTTAGTGCAATGGCGAGGTGGCTGTTAAGTGCAACGGTGAGGTGGTTGTTAAGTGTAACGGCGAGGTGACTGTTAAGTGTAACGGCGTAGTGGCTGTTTGGAAAGTACTTAATTGAGTATACAACAGTGAGGTTGTTGGGGTACAGATTCCATACGTAACGATGAATTGTAAGGCCTATTTCAATTAGAATAGCAAATATTTCGAATGAAGTTGTTATGAAAAGAAAATCATTTGGTGTGGTCAGGATTGGCCGATGTACTGTACATGAACCATTTCTTTTTTTACAGACAGCGAGCATGCTGGTTCTTCAACATCACACGAGGACGTGTGATAGGTCAGGATGGCCGTGTCGGAGGATGTGACGAGTACAGTTTCTTGTTGAATGTCAATCGCGAAAAGGCTATTGTTTACACTTTAAATAATTTTATAAAATCTTAATTTAATTTGAGTTTATTAATTACAATTTTTGTATTGTTCAGTAACTTAACAATTTAATAAAAGTCTCTTATAAATCATCTTATGTCGCGTCCAATCAGAGCAGAGCACGTGCCTCGAGTGGGGTCGAGGCGCCATCTTGATTTTCACAGGTGGGAGGTAGTTTTTGAGCGTATTTAAAGGCGAGGAACTGATCGTAGCGGTTCATTACTAGAAAGGTGATACGGTAGTTCAGTGAAGTCAGATTGGTACCTTGAACCCACTGCTCGGTTGTTACGTTATTTAAGTGTCCTTAGTGTAAAGTAAAGTGTGTGTGAAACATTTTTATTTTGTTTTTGTTAAAAGAACGTAATTAAAACTATACGAACAGTGATTGAGTGATTGTTTGGTTTTGTGCCTGTATCAAGCCCCAATGACGCCCACTAAGCCCGTGAACGCTAATGACAAAGTGAATAGTCGCTCTCCGACACATATATACTGTACATAAATAAGTATATTCATATAGAAATATATATTTAACATCCATGACTGGAGTACAAATGCTCGTATTCATCATACAAACATCTGCCCCCACCAGAATTCGAACCCGGGACCTCTCGAGTCGGCGACACCATAAAACTTGGCGTACAAACCACTCGGTCACGGAGCTCCTCTAAATGTAACGTCGAATATGTGACAGAAGGCGCGATAAAGTTACACAAATTGTTGTCAATGTCAGCGGTTATAATGCGATTCAACTAAGAATAGGACCGACTGGGCGCCATATTGCGATGTGATAGCTGTCAATTCAAACCAAATAGGTAAAGGGAGCAAAAAAAAAGTTTTTATTTAATAAAACTTATTTACTAAGATAAAGTGAGAAAAAGCATCAGATTTTATTAATAACATTTATTTACTAAGAATGGGAAAAAACACTGTTTTTTAATAATATTTATTTATTAAGACTGTGAGAAAAAAAGATTAATCAGAATCTTGCTCTTCTATTCCGCTCATCTCTGCATTACCGCCGGAGTAGTAATGAATAATCATGCACTATTACTAGCTCACGTACGAAGATGCATCCTTTATATAAACGAAAGTTTGAAATCGCGTTTGTCAACGCAACTTAAAGTGACATTTGGTTGACGATTAAGGTTATCAACCAATCATGGCCAAAGCTCAATAAGTAAAAAAAAATCTCTACCGATATTAATTATCAATATTTGTTTTAAACTTTCATGGTCACTAACATTATAGTAATATAAGTTATTTACGGGATTGTTACCATGTACCTTGTTTGGCGCTTGCAACAGTGCCGAAATATCGGAAACTCGCTAAAATAAGGTACATGGTAACAATCCCGTAAATAACTTATATTACTATAATGTTTGGTTTTAATTCTAGAATTAGCCGAGTGCTAAAAAAGGGTTCCAAGTTTTTTTTGCAAACCGTACTTTACAAGCGACATTTGACAGATAGAGGTCATTGGCGTTCCTATTGTTATTTGAATAGCATTATGAGTTACCTTATCCTTCTTGGGTTTGTCTTTCTTGTCGGGGGCAGGTTTGATGGTGATGGCGGGCTCCTTGAGCAGCGGCGGCGCGCTCGCAAACGTCGGCGCCAGCACGTCTGCAACATCATCACGGAGGAGTGAGGCATAGACAAAATAGCTTATTGATTATTATTAGCGTTAAATTACGTCATTAGTTTAAGTATATTATATATCATATCGTTTAATCTCTCGTGAGAATGAGTTTATTGAATACTATAGTGTAGTATGAAAGTGATGACCGGCGCGTTGGGAGCCTGGTGATCTGTATGACAGGTTTCACAACCTAGTGCAGACACCAGTCTCAGGATATAAGACTTTGTAACCATTCTTGAGAGAAATAAATAGATTATTATTATTATTTCTGAATTTGACATTTCATTTATTTATAACTAAAATGGTATGACACTATTTATTAAATTAGTACTAGCAAACCAGTGAACCAAATGTTCACCAAAAAAAAAAATGTATTTAATTAATTCAGAACTTCGGAGATTTTGTGTGGTTTCGTTTGAAATAGAAATCACGTGATTTCTCGAAAACCGGAAGTGCTACGTTACTCACATCCGGTTTGTAGTCTTATCAGACTATTCTTAACTTATAACTTAAACATTCTCTATATCTATCTCCTACGGTTTGGCCGCTGAAACAGCACCACGGACGGACGGATGGACTTGTCTATTAGATAAGAGATATTTGACATTGGTGTCGATTTTGGCGTGATTCTCTAAACCTAAAACTAAATTTAACATCAGTCTTTCCCTTTCATTCTGTATAGAAAACGACAAAGATGAACTGTTGTCAAATTTAAGTTTAGCTTTAGAGAATCATGTCAGAATCGACACCATTATCTGTTCTTAGTTGACATTAGATATGACATTATTAATTGTTTTATTGGTTTGATATAATTAACTATTTTATTATTAATTTAATTAACTTTTACAATGGGTGATTTGATTTTGTTTCTATTAAGTACTATTTGACATTGATATTTGACATTACCTATCTATTTGGCATTACTGTTTTTTTTGTTGTTGTTGTTATAATTATTATTTGATTATCTCTTTTTCTTAATTTTATTGAATTTAATGAATACCTTCTATGATTGTTAATATTTTTTTATGTATGACTTGCCGGTGTTTTAGATTATTCTGTAAGCCTGCATGTTTAAATAAATAGTCAATTATTGGTCAATCCAAACCTTCTCACTGTCTGCGGACTGCGACACACCAGACGTGTCGCAGACGTTCGCAATACCTGCTCATACAGAGATTGGGTGACCAGTGCTTCGGAAGGTCAGCTTGTTCTGGCCGTCGGTCCCAATAGGGATGATGACAATTTTTTTTCTTCGTTTATCAGGTAGATTATCAAAAAGTATTGGACACGTATTTTTTCTTTTTTTACATAATATTAAGATTGCAGAAATATATTGATTTGAAAAGTCGCATGACGTCACGTTTGAGTACACTTATAAGGGAAAATTCACTCAAAAGTGACGTCACGAGCCCCTACTCCCAAACTTTGACGCGCTATAACTTTGTCATTTTTTGGTTGATTGTCCAAAGAAAAAATACGTGTCCATTATTTTTCGATCATCTAACTGAGAGACTAAATAGAATTTCGTTTACTGTACCCCGTCATCATGCCTATTGTATGTGTTTCTTGTTATGTCACCAGTGTTTCTATTGATATGACTTTGTATTGACACTATAACAATGTCATATTTATGATTTTATTTATTTTTTAAGCATTTAATGTCATATTTTATAAATATTAATTAATACATAACTATTAGACGCTGTGAAGTTTTTTTTCGCCAGTTTTTCTCCACAGGTATTAAATGTCCTCAGCTGGTGGGGAAAAAATATGAATGATTCAAAATATGTAGTTGCATTGTGCTCCCAATTTAATAAAGAATTTTTAACTTTATTAAATTGGGAGCACAGTCGCAAGTCGCAGACGTTGGGCACTCGAAAGGCTCCAGGTTTTTTTGTCGTGAAAATATTATTATAAGGGGTGAAATGAGGTACGAAATGTTATATTGGAAACCAAACCACGCGGAAGACATCCGATGTAAACGAGACATTAGTAAGCAAGTTGGAGCGATACAATGGTACCGCGCGGTGATCATTACGTCTCGGGGATTATACATCGCGAGAAGCACGCGGTGCTTACATCCAGGCCGACTTGTTTATATGGAAAAATTAATATAGATTCTAACAGATCAGTACTGAGATTCCTCGAAGGGTATACCCGTACTATGGTGCCATTCGATTAACAACCTACCGTTGAAAAGATTTTTAGTATGTACCGTATCTACGGGAGTACTACTGGACGCGGTACTCACTGGGCTGGACGGGGTTGTGCGCGGGCGCCGGTTTGGACAGCCTGTTGGCGGTGAACATGAGGGAGTTGGCGGCCGGCCGCATCTGCACGTCTTGTAGCGCCGCCGCCCCGGCCGCGTACACGCGCCGCCCGCGCGAGTCCTTGCCGGCGCCTCCTCCCCCTCCCTGCTTGTGTTGCCCGCCCCCTCCCCCTCCCCCGCCACCACCAGCGCGAGGGTAGTACCCGGGCGCGGACCGCTGGCGGAAGGCGTCGCGCGCCGCGAACCCGTTGCCGAAGAGCTTGTCGGAGGGCGGCACGAGCGCGGCGGGCGGCTGCAGCGCGAGGCCGGCGAGCACGTCGTCGAGCGGGCGCGCGCGCAGGCCGCCGCGGAAGAGCGGCTCGCGGTCGCGGTCGCGGTCCCGGTCGCGGTCGCGGTCGCGGTCGCGGTCGCGGTGGTCGCGGCGCGGGTGGTCGTCGTCGCCGCGCAGCTGGTGGATGGGCACGGGCCCCTCGGCGGAGACGGCGGCGCGCGGCACCCAGCCCCCGCGGCGCAGCTCCACCGTGTCGCGCAGCATGAACCGGATGCGCGGCGCCAGCTCGCGACTGGCGGACAGCGTGTCGATGCGCGCGAAGTACTGGTCCATGAGCCCCCGGCCGCGCTCCGAGTCCAGCACGCGGCCGCAGGTGCGCACCAGCTGCGCGAGGCACTCCAGGTCCTCGTGGTGCTCGGCGGCCGCGCGCCGCGCCAGCAGCGTCTGGATGCAGCGGTGCAGGATCGACTCCGCGAGGATCTCGAGCTTGCCCAGCTCGCCGATGAATTTGATGTTGCCGAGCATCTTGCACTTGGCGAGATGCCGCTTCTCCTCCTCATCTGGGCTCAGTGTCTTGTCCTCGAACGCGGCGAAGGCCTGCGGGGAAGAGAGGCGCGAGAGGCGACGTTATCGAGCCCTTACCGCCGAATTATCGTAAGCGACACTCGCCAAATTATCGTAAGCGACACTTTTGTCGAAATGCGTTTTTTGTGGAAACTAATATTTTAAACCGTTACGGACCCATCTCTGTTGATATTTCCCTCTATTCTTCCCTCTATTATATTATTACGGTGTTCTTTTGGAGGGAAATATCAACAGAGATGGGTCCGTTACGGTTTAAAATATTAGTTTTCTCAAAAAACGCATTTCGACAAAATTGTCGCTTACGATAATTTGGCGAATGTCGCTTACGATAATTTGGCGGTAAGGGCTCGTTATTTATTGGGCGCTCGCAAACGACCGATCCGCGCGGCTCGGGAGCCTGGAGATCTACTCACCTGAGCCCGATTTTCGAATTCTGTGCGGCATTTGTTGAGAAGGAGCAGTTTGAAGGTGCAGGGCTGTCCCGGCGGCTCGAAGTTTGGCGCTTCCTCGCTGAGCCGCTTGCATAGCTGGGCGTACATAGACGAGTACTTCGGCTCGTCTAGGGCTTTCTCGAAGATGAGCAAGATGACGCCCTTGAGCACCTTGTCCGAGTCGAGCTCCAGCCCGAGCAGATCATCGCTCAGCTTTTGGAACTTTTCCGGTGTGAGTTTGTTGAGGATACCGCGAACCTGAGGATACGTTCACATAAGTTATGATATCGTAACGGATTTTTAAATTACCAAACATTCTACTCAAGACTGAGCATAAAATAAAGCTGAAGTAAATATACCATAAACAACTTGTATCAACCGGAGATAACGGACTCACTATGCATACACAAAGTATATTAATTTACAGAACATTGCACAAGACATGTTATTTATATTTAGTGTTATAGCGATACCAGCTCAATTCAGCATATTCTATATGCATCTCATTCATCATCATCATCCTCATCAGCCTCTTAGTGTCCCCACTGCTGGGGCACAGGCCTTCCCTATGGATGGAATAGGGAGATTGGGCCATGACCCACCGCGCGGGCCCAGTGCAGATTAGTGGATGCTAACGACTGCAGATGGCCAACGGCTTAACGTGCCTTCCGAAGCACTGGCGTTTACGCTACTTCAAATAGATTGGGTGGTGGTATTCCGTATTTGATGGAAGGCAGCTTAGGTACCTTCCGGAATATGATGTCGTGTTTGGCATCTCCGTCGGGCACATCGTGGTGTCGCAGTGATGAGGGCGGGACCCAGCGTCGCCTCGGCGGGGGGACGGGCGTCCGCCCCGAGGCGCTGCGCGCGGGCCCCGGCTGCCGCGCGCTGTCCGTCTTGTCGCCGGTGTGCCCACTGGCCGCCACCTGCCACCCGCCACCCGCGCCGCTACTGCCGCCTCCGCACCCGCACAACCCCGACACTACTACCGGCGATCGCCCAGCCTACAGCTCTGTAACGCATACATTTTTTATTTATTTATTAAGGAACAAAGTTATACATCTATATCTATACTAGCTGACCCGGCGAACTTCGTACCGCCATAAAAAAATAAGGGTCGGTGGTAGTAGGGTGAAAATTTAGGGTTGTATGTATTTTTGTTTAATGTATCATAAAAAAATATATATCTAAAATTGAAAAATAAAAATTTAGGGGTGGATAACCCTTAACATTTAGGGGGATGAAAAATAGATGTTGCCCGATTCTCAGACCTACCCAATATGCACACAAAATATCATGAGAATCGGTCGAGCCGTTTCGGAGGAGTTTAACCACAAACACCGCGACACGAGAATTTTATATATTAGATATATAAAACTCAAAGGTGATTGACTGACATAGTGATCTATCAACGCACAGCCCAAACCACTGAATGGATCGGGCTGAAATTTGGCATGCAGGTAGATGTTATGACGTAGGCATCCGCTAAGAAAGGATCTTGACCAATTCTACCCCCAAGGGGATAAAATAGGGAATGAAAGGTCAATTTGAACCGATCGGGCTGAGACTTTGCATGCAGGTATAAGAAGAATCGTAGATGAATGTCATTGTGTATAATACAAGCCTGAGAACAAAAACTGTAGTCTACACTTCAGCTCTACACCGAAGCGAAACGAGGACGGGCCGCTAGTAATAACATATGAACACTTTCAAATTAACCAATTGACCTAACAATTCCATTACATATTATATAATAATGAACTTAAAAGAAAAGGAATAACACCATAATTTAGAAAATAAATTCTGTCCAACTTTTGAGCCAAATGCTATAGGTATAATGCAATAAACGAAAGGGAAAACAGCCAATCCGCAGAATCAATAACCAACACAGGTGCTGATCTCTGACTTAACAGACCAACACTCCAACAGCTCGCTCACCACATTACATGTTCCTCGACCAATGTTTTAAACATATTCAAAGATAGGAAAAACATATCAACATCTCCCAAGAAACTATTGTAATACCTACAAGCCTTCCGCATGAAAGTATTTCCAGCTTAATTAGTATGAGAAGGTAACATATAAAATATACATTTAAAACGTGACAAGGTTCCTGGTATTTTAAATTTAATTAGTTCCAATATCTATCGTCCATAAAACATATTGTTCCTATGACTAAATGCAACAGTTATGCAATAAACAATTATTCTACTCCATTCTACGAGGGCTCAAAATTCATTGGGATGAGCGATTCTAAGATGAGTGAGTCTTGTATGACAACATATCATATTTTGAGAGAACACATTAGGCGTAAAAGCATGAATCCCAGCCATACATTAATATTCTATAGTTATTACAGCTTAAATGGTAAAAAAAAATAGCGATTCATGTTCAGTGCCGAAAACGGTGACGCGAAGAAATAAACTAGCGTTAAAAGTACTGTGGTCGGACCCTTTAACTCAGTGTCTATTTCGATCTATTTTTGTCGTTATAATATTTAATAGAAGACCTACACCCTAGTTCATGCTAAAATTAATAGAAACAATTCTACGAAGGTTGCTTCACACTCAATCTCAGACACAAGTTTGATTAGGGGGGCGTTTGGACGACCAGTGTGAAAAGTTTCACCAGTGCTGTCATCCGCGTAGTAATGGAATTCTTGGTGTTGACATATCGAGCGACATCCATTTTTAGGGTCATCAATCTATCAACATCAAGGCCAAATTAGCCTGTGAAAAGCTCAATAGATTCAGATAGTACTTCACACTGACCTACCAACTGAACTTTTTTTGTTTGGTCTCACATGAAGTACTGTTCTCACCTTTCGCATCCAGCACCGAGCGGTTCATATGGCCGTCGACCATGAGTAATAATAACTAAAAAAATGTTTGTGTTTCAGTTTTAAGTATGGGGAACCCCAAAAATTTATTGTTTATCTATTTTTGTGTGAAATTCTTAAAGCGGTTCACAGAAAACATCTACCTACCAAATTACAACAGTATAGTTTCGGAAAAAAGTGGCTGTGACATACGGACGGATGACGAATCCATAAGTTCCGTTTTTTGCCATTTGGCTACGGAACCCTAAAAAGGTATAGTACACATTGTACTTTCTCTAGGATTAGAGAAGAGTCGTAATGAATTAACTCGTGTACTGTTTCATTCACCTTTTTAGGGTAATTAAACCCTGTGGTGTCAATCTACTCGTCCGTCTGTCTGCAGGCCATATCTCGTAGAACGTGCTGAGTATAATAATTTATCCTTAAATAAAATTAAAGGGGTTTCCCGTGCAAGTAACGTTTTTTTACGTTTTTGTTCGAAACATTGTTAAAGCTTGTACAATAGTACGGTAAACTAGAGCAAGTCAGATTCTTACAGCACTAATTTATTTATAATATTTAAAATTGTATAACTTGTAAGAGATCCATCAATAACGGTTTTGGTGAAAAATAATTTATAACAGACCAACACAGAGTGCGAGACTGATCATCTGTTATTTAAACCCATAGGTATTTCGATCATTGACATCATCGAATAATAAAGTTCATTAACGTATACAGCGATGCGCATACGCTATAAACAGCTATGCAAACTAAACTTTTGAACCTTCCGATTTCAGTGTACAATATACGTTGAAAAAAAATGAATCATAGATATTTTGTTCTGAACTAAATTGCGTCAATTTACTGTTATTGCCGGTCGGGTATCTGTTGAATGTTTAAGTCGCAGAAATGATAATGTATTTGTCGGTTGAATAGATGTGCAACCGTTCCGTACGTCCGTGTGGCACAGTCGATAGGTGGTGCATATCGGAGTACGACAGCAAGCAGGTGATCCTGGCACGGTCGACGAACGCGCCCGGCCGTAGACCCCGTCGCTGCTGCGCTCAACGCCCCCGCCCCCGCCCCCGCCCCCGCCCCCGGCCACACTCTGCCCTCATCTCTCTACACCTAGCTGTTTGAAAAGTTCCATTTGCGAAATGACCGACCGCCACAGCGGAGGACACGCCGCTCGGCCTAATGATTACGCGACTGGCGGCACGTTCGTCTAGGGCCTGGGTTCCGAACCTGGGGGTGATTACCCCTCCGGGGGTAAATCAGCCATACTTCGGGGGTAACAAAGAACCTAAATATTAGTTCAAATCTAAATAATAGTACTAAGTAGATCATGCGGTCCTTCTTGCTAGCGAGCCCGCGGAGTGCTGAGTGTGGGAAGCGGGGCGAGATTTACTCCTGATGATGACATTATTAGAGACGAAGATGTAGCGGAAAAATTGGAATTTCTTGGATTGATGATAACATTTTAAAGTCGGGGTAAAATCTGTTTTCCTAATAGGTTACAGGGTAGCAGTATTGGAAAGGTTAGGAAATACTGGTCTAGGGCCTATGCGATTGATCCTCGACGTCCAGGTACGTATGAGGTTGAGTGGTGACGGATGATCTGGCGCAATGCTAGTGGCCGGCGACGTTGGTAGTGGTCGATAGCGTCGCGGGTCGACGGCCGGCGGGACCTTGGCGACGGCGGCGGCGGTGCAAGGTCGCCCGCCCGCGCTTCCAACTCGTAACGGCCGCGGACAGAGATCATAGCGTCATTGCCTACATCGCCAATGACGCGAATCTTTACACGACTAATGTATCTACCGCGTAGTACGTACGAGACAATCCAGCCGACACGACAAACACGTTTCCGAAGTTTTTACATTCGGTTGATCCGAGCCGATCGTGTATAATTTGCTGCAATTTAAAAGTAATGAAATGCTAATCATGGCAAGCGCAGACATATTGCGTGTTTCGTATCGTATCGACTATACTTTTGTTCAGTGCTGAGAGCCTTGTACGATTTATTTGCACAGAGATCGGGGTGACGGTGCGGTGCGTTCGAGTAGCGAGATTTGACAGTGGGTTTATTGACATGTCGCGTGTCAGTGACCGAGCGGGCCGAGGGCCGACATGGGCCGGGGGCTGAATCGCGCATCCCTCGGAGAGACGGAGGTCGATGACCCCGGTTGGCGCCGCCGCCGCCGTGTGCGAGGCGAGAAGGCGCACGTCAGCAGAGGGCGGCGAGCGCCCTTCGATGGATACATTATGGATACTTAGACGTCGCAAGGGCAAAGCTATTAAAGATTACATTTAGAGAAGGAATAGAGGCGTAGGCATTTAGTTATTGCATTCTATAGAGAACTTTGTTAAAAAAGTGCAAGACAGGGTACTTAGGTATATCATAATATAACCAATTTTAACATCGATGTCTTAATTTTATAGACTAATGTAAGACCTAGACATAATTATTATAATATATGCCACAATTAATAACGGAATATCTTGAAAATGAACAAGCCGTTATTGGCTGATTGTTTTCCTATTTGCTTCTTAGGTTTTTCACGCACATCACTCATTAAATAAAACTAGTTTTTAAACTAAACGGGTTAATGCACGAAACTTTATTTATTTATTGACGTTTCGTAGCCCTTTTTTCCTATGTTTGTGATTTTCAAAACAAAGTTTGCATTGAAAGAAATTTTGAAAAATCCACTTGCAAATTAGGAAATCTAAACGATCATGAACGATGTTTTTGTTCAGAAATCTCATTACTTGTCAGTTTGATTGCACCCCTGATTGAACCACTAATTTTTTAATAATTTTCCTTATTTATATGCAACACTCATCTCTTAATGTTAACAATAAATATCATGTTTACAAAAAAGTTAGGGATTGTAATGCCGCAAGATTGTTTTATCAATGAAAGCTTTACAAGACAAGTAGACGATGACCGCCAGCTTACAGAAGATTACAAAATACAATGAAACTACCTTGTAATGGTATAGTGTTACTATTGATGAGCAATAAATTTCGGACACCCCGCGGTAGGGGAATGGGTACAAGCCGGCATCGGCAACGTGAGGAGCGCTGCCGCTGTTTGCGACTGGACATCGCAAACTTAACAAAGAGATGTTACATATCATGATAAATAAAATAAATATTTCCAACACTCACACCAATTAGCCTAGCCCCAA